GAGGCTCCATAACACTCCCAAAGTTGGGTTGGACAGCATGAGACACAAGCTCAGGATGGGGAGAGCACCTAGGGAGCATCCAACATCCCAATCCCTCAACCCACAGACCTTGAAGCACAAGAGCAGGTTCAGGGGGGCCAAACCCTGCACTGAGGCTCCATAACACCCCCAAAGTGGGGTTGGACAGCTTGAGACATGAACTCAGAATGGGGAGAGCACCTAGGGAGCATCCAGCACCCAATCACTCAACCCACAGACCCTGGAGCCCAAGTGGGACCCTCTCCCCAGCCATGCCAGCAGCAATGAAGCTTTGGCCTCAGCCAGCTCAGGAATGCTCTATTTATTATTTTTCCAGCTTTTGAGGGCTAATGACTGTTTATTCCCAGGGTTTTCCTTCCCCAGCCAGTCCTTCTCAAGCCTCATTTTTTGCATAGCTGGAAACTTTCAATGCAGACACCGAGTCCTGGCACTCGCTGTGTGCAGCAGCACAGATGTTGCTGTCTGTACTGAGCAGCCAGAAAGATTCTTCCAAGCCCCTTCTCCCTCTCCTACTTCTGTTCTAGGGGGGGCTGGTGACAACGGAAAGATGAGAGCAGTGGTTGAAATGGCTCCTTTTGCCCTTCCTTAAGGTGTCAAACAGCTCTTGCTCATGGGACGGTGAGGAGCAACCAAGAAAAGACATTGGGAGGTGAAGATGAAGATGGAAGGAACTTTTCTTTGCCTTTTTCCCTGCTCTTGGACCTCTAAGACCATTTTTCCTCTCAACTCAATGTGCTGCATGAGAAGAGAACCCATGGGGATGACAACTTCCATACTTGAGGGACATCTGTCCCATGTGCACTTGTGGAGACTCTTTGTGTGTTTGATTCCACCACTTCCTTTGCCCACACAAATCCATCCACAGCACCAAGACTTCCTGAACTCTTGATTCATACCTTAAACACCCCAAAATGACATGAAGTGAAACATGACTTGGGGTAGAGGAGCAGCACTAACCCAATTCAACACTTTGGATCAATGCTATGATCATCTCCACCCTTACAGAACCTCCTTATGCTACTGAAACTACCTCCAGGTCATGCTGCTTCAAACACAGCAGCACAGGGAGCTCCCAGTTTGCCTAAAGATGGGCACTGGGGAAGCTCAGACCACACAACATTGGGCACTTCTTGCTCTGTCTGCACCAGGAACACTCCAGGGTTCACCAGCCACTGTCTGACTTAACTCTGGAGCACCTCAGGATGAGCTCCAGGAACTTGTTGTCATCTTCTCCATGCAAATACTTAGAGAAATCACCTCCATCTTAATGAAAAAGAGGGAGAAAGTATTGAGAGGGAAGTCTCAAAGCTACTGGAAGACATGTAGCAGAGCAAAGTCATCCCCCAACTGGATGAGCTGTTTGAGCACTGAATATCCAAGTGGGTTTTTTCCCCCCCTGGAGTTTAATCATCCGAATTCTTTCCTCATAGATTTTCCACTCTGTGAGTTGCAGTTGCAGCCCCTAAATTTGGCTCCTTCCTCAAAAAGCTTGGAAAAGGGGGAAAATCACAACTAGAAAACACCTGGAGAATATTCTACATATTTTGCACACTTAAATATGCCTTTAAACACCTATAGATACACATCAAGACAGATATAGACATATAAAAGCTGCTTTGAAGCCCTTCTAAAACCATCCACAGCTGCCAAAAGCAGCATTAAAAGGCTCAGACTGAAGGAGAAGTGCCAAAGTCCTCAGATTCCAAGGAATTTGGCAGCTGTGTCCCTGCACGTTGCTCCTATATGAAGCTCTGAGCTAACCATTTAGTGGCTCAGATCTCTTCAGTGGCTTCTGGTGAATTCCTTTGGGATGGCATGGAAAGATGCTCATTTGGCTTCTGTTCTACCACCAATTCGGGTTTCAGCTCAGCATCTCCATGGCTTCTGTCTCCTGGCAGCTCCTGGGCTTGGTGGGAGCTCAGGACAATCCTCATCCAGCTCCTTCAGGACCATTTTGGTTTATACTCTAGAGTTTGAGTCATTTCTTCTTTGACCAGAGTGAGTCATGGTGGCTTCATTTTTCATGTGCAGACACATATTTCATGGCCATTTGACGCTACCTAATTGCAGCTTCAACACTAATGTTCTACTTATGGATCTCCTGGGCAGAGGAAGTCCATTTTGTCATGCAGAGGAACCAACAGGAGGCAAAACTAATTCTATGTCCTGCTTGAGGTTGGTAGGAGAAGTGAGACAAGGGACAAAATGACCCAAATGTGGTGTTTGAACCAGTGTCCTGCTAGGGAAAGGGGGAAAAATCCTCACTTCACTGATCTCCAGCCCTTGATTACTTCATCAGTGATGGTGGAAGTTCAAAGGCATGAGAAGAACCATCAGAGACTCCAAATGGCACAGGAATTGGAGTCCTTCTGCTGGGGTGGAACCAGGATCACGCCTAAACCAGCACTTTCAGATCCAGTTGGGCTACAGAGCCCCAAAGTGGGTGTTTTCCACCAATCTCCCTCCGAGAGGTCACTTGGGGCAGTGTAGAGCAGCAACACCAACTCATGCAGGCACTTAACACCCAATGGTTCAGGTACTGTTGCTGTCCCAAGGGTAACCTGACCCTGAGGGCTGGGAGGGAATTGCACAGGATCCCTCAGAAATCCTGGAGTGGTTTGGGTTGGAAGAGATCTTAAAGCTCAGCTGGTTCCATCCCCGTGGGCAGGGACACCTCTCACCAGCCCAGGTTGCTCCAAGCCCCATCCAACCTGGCCTGGAAAAAAAAAAGCAGCCACAGCTGCTCTGGGCAACCTGTGCCAGTGCCTCAGCACCTCACAGGGAACAATTCCTTCCCAACATCCCATCTGTCCCTGCCCTCTGACAGTGAGAAGCCATTCCTTGTGCCCTGTCCCTCCATCCCTTGACCCACGTCCCTCTTGGAGTCCCTTTAGGCCCTGGAAGGGCCTCTGAGGACTCCCTGAAGCTTCTCTTCTCCAGGCTGAACACTCCCAGCACTCCCAGCCTGTCTCCAGGATCCCAGACTGGTTTGGGTTGGAAAGGACTTTAAAGCTCATCTCATTCCACCCTCTACCATGGGCAGGGACACCTCCCACCAGCCCAGGTTGCTCCAAGCCCCATCCAACCTGGCCTGGGACACTCCCAGGGATTTGACATGTTCAGGATGAAACGAGATATGGAACAAGGAAGTTCTCCAGAAGAAGCCTCAAGGAGGAATGTGATGGCAAAGACACCTAGTTCCTGTTTCTTATCTTCCTCCTAGAACTGTGATCTCTGAACATCCTTCAGTCCTGACCTGGCAGACACCTCTGTGGACTTGGAGCCGCTTGCAGACGCCACTGCAAATACCACCACATTTTTGAGGGCTTTGGCTCCCTTCCTAAGATAAAACATCTCACAGCAAGAGCTCTGGACAAATAAAGAGCTCTGGAAGCATCACATCAACTGCCCTGGACATGGCAGTCCTCATCCCATCACCTCAGCCATGCCCTGAAGTGGGTGAGGGATGGAGACACCAAGGAAGGATCAGATTCCCTTAGGAGTTAGGAGCATAGTGACACCAGATATTCTCCAGCATTCTAAACAGGGAGATGAGGATAGAAGACTCAACATCATCTGTTAACATCAGCTCCTCACCCAGGTCCTGAGCCGAAGATGCTGAGGGAATTTGCTGTAGTTCCTGGAACTACTCAAGCCTTGTTTATATTGAGGTCTGGTGACTTTGGCCAGGAGCTGCTGTGTTGTCAGACTGCCTGAAATTCCTTATCTCTTTTCAAAAAAAGCCTTTATTTGGGTAAATAGCCACATTCTCAAGCAAAGAAAGGGGGGAGGACTGTGTCCCATATCAGATGGAGTCATAGAATCATCAAGGCTGGAGGAGACCTCTAAGATCGAGTCCAAGCCTTAACCTGTCACTGCTGTAAGCCCTAAACCATATCTACCATTACCTGGTCCAGATGCTTTCAACACTTCCAGGGATAGTGACTCCACCACCTCCCTGGGCAATATTCCAGTGCCTGACCTATTGGTCCTGGTGGAGGTGACCACAGCCCAGAGCAGGTACATCTGGGTCATAGAATCATCAAGGCTGGAGAGTCCAAGCCTTAACCTGTCACTGCTGTAAGCCCTAAACCATATCTACCATTACCTGGTCCAGATGCTTTCAACACTTCCAGGGATAGTGACTCCACCACCTCCCTGGGCAATATTCCAGTGCCTGACCTATTGGTCCTGGTGGAGGTGACCACAGCCCAGAGCAGGTACATCTGGGTCATAGAATCATCAAGGCTGGAGGAGAGGAGACTACCATTACCTGGTCCAGATGCTTTCAACACTTCCAGGGATAGTGACTCCACCACCTCCCTGGACAATACCCCAGTGTCTGAACACCCTCACAGGGAAAACATTTCTCCTAACATCTCCTCTGACTCTGCCCTGGCTCAGCTCAAGGCCATTCCCTCTAGTCCTCTCCCTGCAGCCATGGCAGGAGAAACATTCTCCACCTCTCTTCAACCCCTGGCAGGGAGTTGGAGAGAGCCATGAAGTCACTCCTGAGCCTCTTCTCAAGGCTAAACAAGCCCAACTCCCTCAGCCCTTCCTCATGGGTTTCCAGCCACTGTTGGAGTCCAAGGAGCCCTGAGGATCCATGAACCTGCCTGTAGCAAAATCAGCATGGATTTCCAACATGGGTTGGAGTCCAAGAAGCCCGGAGCAGCTCCTGCCTGGAGCAAAGTGCACAGCATCTGGACACATCTTCTCCATACACATCCCCCAAACCAATCACATTGTTATCGCCCACCTCAACCTCCTCTTTTTGGAAGGAAAAGGCTTTATCTGCTCTCCTTCACCCAGGTTGATTCTGCACCACCACCCCCAAGAGTGTGGCACAGAATTTCCCACCACAAACTGGGCTGAGGTAGAGCAGGAGGAGGTAAGCAGTGGTTTGGGGTGGGTTGGTGTGGATCTTCACCTCCTCAGAGCTCAGCACAGAGCTCACTCACCATTTCTTGCCCCCAATATCATGTTGCTGCACTGTGTAGCCAAAAAATGCTTCCTTCGAGCCACAGATGATTTTGGGCCTCTTGGTGTCGATGTTGAAGGTGTCACTGAGCCCTGGAAGGAGAAGAGAAGGATCCTGTCAGTCAAGGGGCTGAAATAGTAGGAGAAAACACACCTTGACTGTGGTCAGAGGCTGAGAAAGTCAGCCCAGGAGGCTCTGAGGTCTCCACCCAAGGAGATAATCAAACCCCAAGTGGATACAGCCTTGACAACCTGCTCTAGATGCCTCTCCTTGAGGAGAGGTTGGACTAGATGACCTCCAGAGGTGCCTCCAACCTCAACCATCCTGGGAATACTGCCCCACAAATGACATAGAATCATGGAATCACCCAGGTTCAAAGAGACCTCAAAGATCATCGATCCCAACCCTACCATGGTCACTAGACCA